TTATTATAATCCAACGCCAGGTCGTTGTGAATTCACCCCTATTTTGACGTTTGTGAGGTGATAGCGTAGTGTTAAATCTGTTGATCACGGTTACGGATCACATCAACAAAAATGAGGAAGGAGAAGTGAAAAAATTACACAGAGGTAGAGAAAGAGTTTCTATTAGAAACGATCAAAAGGTTAGTAAGTATAATTAGTATAGATATTGTAATTTTATTGTATAATTTCTTTATGTATAACTGATGATAAGAAAATAATATACCTATACACTATACAGTTCAGTTTTTCAACAATAGTAGAAAGTAAGGTAACAAATGGACCATTGTGCGAGAAAAAAAATGATACTTGGAGAAAAATTGCTAACGCCCTCTCAAGTCTGCATCGAAACCCAATACTCATTTTCAAATTCTCCCCAACAAGGTCCAACATTTTCCGTACCGGGTCTTTGAAAATCGGAAGCGCTGTTTGAAATCGAGATCATCATAATTTTCCATTGGATTTGCCCTGTCTCTAAAAAGTCTTGGCCTAGGCAAAACCAATTCATCATTGTCGCTTTCCAGACTTGATAATGATGTACCTATCTGACATTTGTACGTTCTGCCTAGGGAATGCAATACCGGGATCCCGCGGCATTTTTGCGGGATTAATCCCGTACAGAAATTAAGCGGGATCCCGTGGGATTTGCGGGATTGCAAAATTTACGACGTTGTTTAAAATTTATTAATAAAACGCGTAACGGAGAAGTGCAGATACGTACAGGTCGTCCGTAAATCAATATCTCGAAAACCGCCATTTTGAAAATTTTTTTTCTACGTTCATTTAATTTATACGATCGAATCCTGCAACTTTTATTTGAAACTTTCTTCGATAGCTCTCTTTGTTACTAAAATATTGACCTTTTTAAAAATGGCGATTTTCACTTTTTCTCCAATTATCTACGAAACGAATTATTTTTTCAAAATATCGCGTCGAAATATCAACCAGCATCAAAAACTACACAACTTTGCCAATTTAACCGAATCTGTACGTAAGTTTAACAATAACAGAGATAATCATCTTACTCAATTTAAAACACCCTGTATACTCGTCGATGGTTTATAAAAACTTTAGTAGTACAGTATGGCTGTATTAATTGTAGTGAATATTCTAGAAATCCAGATAAACGTGGGGGCCGAAAGCGGATGTGACGCATCCTTTTCGGGAAATACGATATGTTTTGTTGGAGAATATTCGGTTAATCCGCACAAAATTGCATATTTCCCAATACATTTAAAATTTTGCGGGATCCCGCGGGATTAACATAAACGATCCCGCAAATACCGGGATCAAAATTTTGCCGCGGGATTGCATTCCCTAGTTCTGTCGTTATAATTCCAGTTTAATTCTCCGATTTGACGAATTAGAATAATTTTGATTTAATCAATGACAAATGTAGGATTACAGCTTCATGCAACCCAAAACCAACGTAATCAGGGATTATAGTAGGAATAAACTTAGATTAGAATAATCAAGATTAGTTTAATCCAATACTTGATCATGCAACCAAAATTTTTGTTTAATCTCGGATTGGGCAAATAATCTTGGATTTCGATTATAATTCGCTTTCTTGCAACCGGGCGTAAGTTTGGTAATAATTTTATGATTAAAGATTATTTTGTGGGTCGATAACTTTGATGTCTTTCATTGGTGTATACAAGCAATAATGGTATTTCTCGTAACTTATGGTATGTTTCTATGTTCAGTGCTATAACGTTTGTGTCGAAAGGTAAACATAGTGGCGCCTTCCGGAATATTTATTTTGTGCTCAATTTGATCGTTTGGACTACGACCATCTGCCTATTTTGACTGAGCTACCGAGCCTTGACATTTTAAATTTATTACAAGAACGAATTTTTGCCTGTAACATACCTTTTCCTCGATTTCCACGACATAAAATTTCATCGATAAGCTAGAACTTGTCTGAAAGAAATCTTATGGCGAGTATACGTTTTAGAACGTTTCTCCAGTATTGTTCTTCTTCCTGAATATGGTACCTTAAATGTTATATCTACTGTTCCGACTATAGATGATCTTGTTACTAATGATACTGCTTTCGAAGAAAAATCCTACTGCATAGCTATTCTTCTGGACGTTAGCCAGGAATTTGATAAGGTCTGGTATAAAGGGCTTATGCACAAAATCCAACAAACTTCACCGGCAATTTCGAACACGAGTTAATAATGAAACCTCATCACATCACTATACCCAATCAATTCGGGTGTACCTCAGGGAAGTGTTCTGGGACCCTTCCTAATCTATTATTCACTTCAGACCTTCCAACCACTCCTAAACCAACGATAGACCCTTTCGCCGACGACGCCATTATACTTGCGAAACACAATAACGTAATCACCGCATCGCGTCAAGTCCAAAGCCACCTCAACCTTCTCCAAGTCTGGCTCTGTAAATGGAAAATAATAGTCAACGAAACGTGACATTCGCCCTGCGAAAAGATTATGTTACCATAATGCTTACATGAAATTTAGTGTCTTCCATGATTTTTAGGCGCCCTCGTAAGATTTTCCGGTCGTTGTAGCCGAAATTAAAGATGTAATTTTCCTTAAAAAATATTTTACAAGGCCAACCGTACACAGACGTAGTATGCGAATTAGACATTCTCTTTTTACTTTTTCGCCATTACATGTAACGCGATAAAAATCAGATTCTTTTAAATATCGGTAGTAAATACGGTTGCCGTCTTAAACTCTTAACGTGTATCTTCGATAGTATCGCTCTTTGAAGATCGTTTTAATTTGTTACTGTTTATTATTTCTTCGAGAGATTCTCGTCTTGCTTGATTGGCTTGATTCGATAACTAACCATTAATAGGAAATGCTTTCCAAAGAGAAAGGAAGATTTACAAATTAGTATGAACGCTTTTTTGAATCAAAATCCAGCCAAAAACAGTCTCACTGGAAATCCATGGTATAAAGCATGTATGAAGGGGCATGCTTCAGTATGTGAAAGAGGACCCGAAGTAGTAACATCGGCTAGTGTGTGGCTTAGTGGTTTCTTCATATTAAAAAGCATGAAAATTATTTTGATATTCTCCAAGATCCCAATCGAGTTCATGCTTTATGTTATATTCCAAGAATAAAATTGTGTTAGCTAGAAACTTTTACGAGATCGATAATGTTCCGGAAAAGTCCAATCTAACAGTTTTGTTTACATTTTCGCCTCAAGGAGAAATAACACTACCATTTAATAATAGTTTATTGCCCCACAGATTCAATTTATTATTTATCCATACCAGCGTCAATGGCCAGTTCAGTTCCAGATGAATGGGAAGTAGTCATCAGCTCAAATGGTTGGCTAAAAACAGAACTTTTCTTTGAATATATGTTTTTCATCCTTACCGTGGTTAAAAAAATTACACAATTTCTCGTCATCCTATTTGTAGATGGCCACAGCACCCATACTTCGTACCAGCTAAGTGACCTCTGTTCGCAACTGAAAAATGGGAATTATTTAATACTTCGACAACATGTGCAATTCACAGTACAAATGCGTGAAAATAATAGTAGAAGCGGCGGGCTCTGAGAACAACAATACGACACAAGATCAACAACATTTCTATACGCTCACCGCTGCTTTCCAAAGCGTCAATTGTAATGAGATGGCCAATAAAACCTCTCATTTCAATCTTGTTTGTGGGAATGCACTTCTTTTTATAACTTGGATGATCACAGTTCTATTTTTGGAAGAATAGATTTACGATTTGTTTCGTCTACTAGTATATCCAATATATCTTCAGATAAAAACAACAAAAACGCATCTTTTATACTATTGACTTTTGAACTAATACGTGCCAGTTCGGCGATTTGCTAATTATATTTTGCTGTCTTTTTCTCCTCTATGGTACGTTTGACCAACAAGTCCCATCTTTAGATACATAATAGCTGTTATCTTTTGGAAAACCAGTTGTTCCAGAAAGCTCGGCGTCTGAACAACATTTTGTAAGAGTCATATATGAGCAACGTTTTAAAAACGTTCAAACAACTAGATTAGAGTGCTTACATTAGCTAGTTACTTTAATAAATATAGAACATTAACATAATGCTGAATTAAATGTTGACAAAAAATACTTTGGTGGTTGTAAGAACCATCTGGTAATACTAATCCAATGTACCACAACATTATACAGAACTTCTGAATCTCTAAATTCGGTTTACGGACGTTTCGCCCCCGCCGTTTCGCCCCCGACCGTTTCGCCCCCGCCGTTTCATCCCCAGCCGGTTCGCCCCTAAACCGTTTCGCCCCCGAACCGTTTCGCCCCCAGAGTTGTACCCCTACATTTAACCATTTGCCCGACACGTTAAAACTGTATACTTAAACGGGCAGAACGTGCCCACTGGACCCAGTGCATTTTCATTGCTTGTATTCATCTATTAATTGCGTACCTACTGAAATTATTGAATTGTTTATAAATAAGCACAATGATCAGCAAGAATTGTAATGGCTCATATTGAAAATTTGTAATTTTGGACACCGAATATGTTGCATAATTGACACCAAACTTTAATTGCTCTGTAATCAGAGTAATTATATATTCATGACTGCGAATTTGAAAATTTTAGAAAGTGTATACACTCTTTCTAATGACTGGCCTAATGACCGAAATTAATTATGTAAACATTCTTCTCATTGTTGTACGCAAAATTTGTGATTTTAGAGAGCAAATATGCTTATAATTAATACTAAACTTTAATTTCTTTGTAATTACGTCTTCCACAACCATTAAGTACCTGAAATATTGATAATCGACATTCGAAAATGCTATAAAAGCCAGTAATAAGTATTGTCCAATCATTTGTATTGTGTGTTTCGTGACGGCTCGTTTAGTCATCTCGTATTGATAGCAATGGCGGACCACGTTTTATCAAAGCGAAATAAGAACAAACTTGTCCATGAAAACCACATTTACGTTTTCTCCAAAAAACAAAAAATGGAGAACATGGGATATGGGTGTGCGAACTCCGATCAAGCTGCAAGGGTCGAGTATGGACAAACGGAAAAGATGGTGAAGTGGTGAAAACAGTTACGCATCATAACCATGCAGCACAAGCTGCCAGGCCAGCAGCCATTCGATTGGTTACGACGGTAAAGGAGCGTGCCGCAACGACACAGGAGAGCCCACATCAAATTATAGCAAATGTCATCCCACAAGCTCACGCAGATGTTGCTGCAATCATGCCAAAAAAGGATGCATTGAAGAAAACGATCCGCAGAGCCAGACGAGATGAAGAAGCACCTGCGCTTCCAAGAAATATGCAAGAATTGGTGATTCCCCGAGGTTTTAGTGAAATCGTTATTGATGGTGAAGTGCAACAGTTTCTAATGTACGATTCGGAGAATCAACTGATGCCAGGAAGGATCCTCATCTTTTCAACCAGAAGCAACCTTCATCTTTTGGCCCAAAGTCAAGAATGGTTTGCAGATGGCACGTTCAGTACCGCACCAGCTATTTTTGAACAACTTTACACCCTCCACGCCATCAAAAACAGTGCCGTTGTTCCGCTAGTGTACGCTCTCTTACCGAATAAAACAAGAGCTACGTATGTTACATTTTTACAACAATTGAAACGTTTGCAACCTGGACTGCAACCAACTCAACTCATGACGGATTTCGAACTCGCTGCCATGCAAGCATTTGAATTGGAGTTTCCAGGTATTTTAAAGACTGGATGTTTTTTCCATTTATCGCAATCCGTTTGGAGAAAGGTGCAAAGTGAAGGCCTCAAAGCTCGCTACGAGAATGACCATGAGTTCGCTCGATGGATTAGAATGATTCCTGCTTTGGCGTTTGTTCCTGAACATAACGTAAGCGACTCATTCACCGAATTACTTGAAACCGAAGGATTTCCTGAAGAGGCTGTACCCATAGCGAATTATTTCGAAGACACATATATTGGTCGAAGACTACGTCGTGGGCGTCAAATTCCACTATTTCCAACTCAAATTTGGAATGTTTATCAGCGCACTCTTAACGACCAACATCGCACAAATAATCACGTGGAGGGATGGCACCGCGCTTTTCAAGAAACTTGTGGGTCCCAATTTCAAAATATTTTTCGTTTTATTGAATGTTTGCGGAAGCAGCAAGGTATTCATAATTACGAAATAATACAATCCATTGCAGGAAATCAAGGAAATCCAAGAAACAAGAAGTATGTTGCAATATCAGCTCGAATCAAAAGAATCGTTGAAGATTTTGAAGATCGCCATCTTACCGATTATTTGCATGGGATAGCGTACAACTTCGAATTTTGAAATTGTTCCGATTGTACAGCGAAATATGTTAAGATATCTTATTTTTATATTTATATGTAACCTGCTAAAACAATAAAAATAAAATTCTTGCTGATCATTGTGCTTATTTATAAACAATTCAATAATTTCAGTAGGTACGCAATTAATAGATGAATACAAGCAATGAAAATGCACAGGGTCCAGTGGGCACGTTCTGCCCGTTCAAGTATACAGTTTTAACGTGTCGGGCCAATGGTTAAATGTAGGGGTACAACTCTGGGGGCGAAATGGTTCGGGGGCGAAACGGTTTAGGGGCGAACCGGCTGGGGATGAAAGGGCGGGGGCGAAACGGTCGGGGGCGAAACGGCGGGGGCGAAACGTCCGTACCCGCTAAATTCAATGATATAAAAATGTTATCATAAGTATTTTAATTTTTGAAAGAAATAGTGAACAGTCGTTAATGAAATGAAGCTGTGCATTAATTTAACAGTTTTTTTTGCTTGAACTAATATTTATAAACTGTTATGTAAATGTAGCGTAAAAGTTGTTTCATCTGATTTAAACTGTTCTTTTTATAGTATTATATGCATTTTACTTATCAATTTCAAAATCATTTGTTAAAAATTGAAAAATACCTACTGTTAATAAAAAGTTGTAAATGTTTCAATTTTCTGTAACAACGTCGACGTTTAGACTGTTTTACTTTGCTGAAACAACTTAGGATTGGTATACCTATACATACAATCAAAACAAGTAACTATACTAATGCTTACATTTATTTAAGAAATAATTGCAAAATCTTATTTACAACATAATATAATCTTTATAGTTAACCGTATGTATTATACTAGGACACTCACTAAGTAATGAACTTAATTCTACACAAAATAAATCGTTATTTTTTTTAATTTCATAAGCATTATAATGTTCATCATATAATACAGTATTAATCTTCCTAAGAACAAAAAAAACTTTATTCTGAGATTCTTTAAAAACAATAGATTCTATTATACCAAAAATAGGTATAAAATCCTCCATGCCTACTACAACAACATTTGCAAATGTATATTTTATTCCTTTCACTTTTATCCAATTAGTAGGGAAGTAATCATCTGACATATCAAGTTTTAAAAATTGTACAAATGATTCATATTCTCTACTATTTGACACAAATTGAAAATTTTCTGAACCACATTCAAATGTATCTTTAAGTCCAATTTCGGATAATATACGGTAACAAAATGACAATTGATTTTTTATTGCTAATGTATACAAAATGTTTTTTCGTGAACTGACTGCACTTGCAGCTGCCTTAAATTGTTTATGTTTGGCTTCAAAACGTATTGAAGATACATAAGGTAATGGTCCAATTTTATTTAATAGGTTGGCATAGTGTGTTAAAAAATGATGCTTAGGTTTTAAATTTCCAAAAAATTGAATATAAAGCAAATGGTGTTCAGATACAGCAGTTCTTAGTAAGTCAACGAATTCTGGTGCAATAACTTTGCTTGTAATAATGTTAGTTATTTCACATAATGACAAATAAATTTCCCACATATCATTACCAATTGGTATACAGTCTCCTACTATCAAAGACAAGAATTTGACAAGTGCCGACATTTCGGAAGCTGATACCAATATATGTTTATTCAATATTTGTGATTTAGATATTTGCGGTGGCTTGTTTTTATCTAAGAAATTGAAAAATCTAATTCGATTGTTTAATGTATCCAAAGTAAAAAATTTGTCAATATATATATAATGATAGAGCAAATTTCCAATATCGTATCTACAAACTCCCTCAAAAACATCATGCATTATATCACAACATGAATTAACAGTTAAATGAAAATTAGGTAATTGGTGCCACACACACTCTTCTTTTATTCCATAGCTTTTAGTAGACAAGTCAGTTTCATAATTTTCACGAGTTCGCTTTAAAGTAGTACTTTCCAATTCGTTAGATTGACTAAAATCTTTGCTACAACGGCAGAATCGGCAAAAATGGTTAGAACTAAAATTTTGAATTAATCCCATCATAGAATTGAGACCCAAGTTATCTCCTAAGACTAAGACAAGGCTAAAATAAATTGTGTAACTCGAAGAATTGACACTGATATCTATACCATTTTTTTCTAAATCGATTAAGTCTTCTTTACCCAAGCGCAACTTTTTTACATTATAGTATATAGACGATTATAGTTGCAAGAGACAAGATGGTATTTTTGCTTTGTCAACTCCTGTCTTGGTCCTTAGTTAGTTTCCGCCGACACTGAGCAGCGGCGCCACTTGTTACACTGAAATTGTTGATTTACCGCCCGCCAAGATACAGACTTTATTTACAAAAAATATGATTTCATTTTTTGGGGTAATGTTTAGAAGGAACTTATCTAAAAAACTGTCGGTTTACTTTTTCCATAAATCGTCTTGATCGCGAGTAAAAAAATGAAACAGATTAGCGCAATAATCGGCGCAAAACAGCTAATCTTTAAACAATCGATATTCAGTTGTTATACACTTTTTAAAAAAAATAGTCCGAACATTTTGTAGATAAAGGTCTAAATTTATAAAATAGTTCTTAAAAAAATTTTTTTTTTGCAGGGCGGGCGCTCTTATGGAAATTTACATTGGGTGCAGTGGGTACAGAAGACTCTTAAATCTGTTATGATTTTTTGAAAAATTTTTTTGTTGCCATACTCTTTTATATCAGACGAATAACATAATTGAACTAAAAATATATTTTCTAAATGAGCACTACATTCTGGAGGCAGACATGCCAAGGACATATATATACCACATATCTTGTGAACGCCCGCATAACTGCCTAAAGGATTGCCAAGTTCAAAGTCGTCGCCGTAAATTAGTAAAGGGAAAACAATTTTGTTTTCGAACTTTGCCTCAATATTTTTCCACAATTCACCCTGCATGATATTGACTAATTGTGGCATGTCTTTTAAAGATTGTGTGTAAGCATAAATTGTATCAAAAACTGATGATAATTGCAGAAATGTTTGCAAAGTTTTAGCAATAGGGATGTATTGGCATGTAGCATCGGTTATCTCCATTACTATTCGAGATCTCTTTTTAACATCATTTATTCTTTGTCCTAATGCAATTGAAATTGGATCAATGTAAGCATTTAATGATTTAAAAGCTTTAAATCTAGAATACTCAGAATTTATATCATTAAACATAACACTTAATGATGTGATTATATCTAATATTTCACTGGTACCTTCATTGTTTACTTTGAATAATTCAAATTGAGAACATACTATACTTTTTAAAATTTCTAAGGGTGCTTTTAAAGTGTTTGAAAATTCAAAAATTATATTTTGCACAATATTTCTTGGGAAAGAATAATTACTATACAGTTTTGAAACAAGTAAAAGACAATTGTGGCGCAATCTATTTTTGAAATCCGTACAATTGTATGTTGGAGTAAAACATGTAGCTGCCGATTCAAATGTTTCGTCTGGAGAACATTTGTCGTTTGTTAAATCTTGATAAGTATCATTGATAGTACATACAGGTGGTATTTGTTGAAAATTTCATTTTTGTGTTTTAATAGTAGATGCCGTTTGAAAGTATAAATACTAGAAAATATTCTACAGCAATCAGTTTGTTTGCAAACAAACCGGTTGCTCAGTGCATGAATCAGTTTGATATGTCGGATGACGTCTGCCACTTCTGGATAATATTTAAGACACAACGGGCAGATAAACATTATAATGGTTTGAGCTAGTCAGAGATAATAAAATAAAATAAGAAATTGTTAACAATCAATAAAATGAACATACAATTTAGTAACGTTGAGTTATTCAAAATTCTCGTGTTCTTTTAAAATTGTTAATACAGCAGGAGATTTAATTTTTGAATGCTCAATTTTATACAAAGCCCTCTCAATAAGCAACCATATGTGCTCACTCTCTAAAGGGTACCGTGCATTTAGCACATGAAAGGATTGAAATAGGAAATCTAGAGAGTGCAAAACAGAGATGGATTTGTACACATGCTTGTCTATAATAACATACGACTCGGTGATTTCGGAAAATCCCTTTCCTACAGCGATCAAGTAAGGTTGGTCTGTAACACCCAGATCAGAAAGTTTTTTTATGCGATTGTTGATACATTCTTCGATTTCCCCGCAGGTCTAAAATCCATACATTAATAATCAATTTTCTTTAAATAATAAAACTTACAGAAACTAAATTGATAATGCTCTCTTGGCATTCCACAATACTGGGCTTCCAGTGCTTTTTTGTATTAATGCGGCCTTTGGGAGGAAATAACTTCGCCAGCGCTGCAACTTGTATGCCGTTCTTGCTATCTATGAGTAAGTTCAAATTAAACAAAAGTGATCTTTTACAAATATCATTATCAATCTTACCCTGGTTAACTGTATTGTTTTGAAGATCAGCAAAATTCTCTACTCGGCTTATCCAATACGGTAGTGTTCATAAGAATTTCAAAAAATTTCTCCCATTTCATGTATTCATTTATAAGTGATGAGATACTACATTGGGGATATAGTTTTTGAAAATCTAGATTCACCTAAAAAACGTATGATTAAATTTGCAAAAAATTGAAAAAATAATTAACTTACCAGCATATATGCATTTTGATGTTTCAAAATAGGCCATTCACCTATAAATTCGGCCACGGTTGGACTTTTAGCCGTTTTGCGCAATATAAAGGATTTATTCCAATGTTGTAACACTAAGTCCCATGGCTCAACGTACAATTTCAACCAACCAGCAGATTCCTTCAAATCATCTAAAAATATGTAAAATTTTTAAACACTCCAACAAAAGATAGTACAAGTTTGTTATGATGGAAAAGATAGTACAAGTTTGTTATGATGAGCCTATGAAGAGCTGTCACATGCATGGGATGCATTTTGAGAATAAATCAAAAATGCGTTGTAGAAGAAACGATTAATGTTTTAGGAAGAAATTATTATATTATAGAATTACTAGAATATACCTTCATTTCCGTGGTTATCTTCTGATGCAGATGATGCTTCATTTACCACCTCTTCGACCTTTTCTTTACTATTTGAGTCAGAATAAAGTTTCTTTAAATTTCGATATTTGTCGATCAGTTTTCCTTTGGGATTTATTGGTTTTAAATGTTTATTACCAGGAATTCTAGGAATGTAGTATGTTGACCTGGTTTCTGAAGGAAATAATTCGCATATTTTGTCACACAACATTTCGAAGTCCAATGGAATTAAATTTTCTCTAAAATAATTATAAATATCAATTTAATTTAACATATTTATACGATCTGCATTTTAAATCAATATTTTTGACAAAAACTACAATATACAAAATAGATAAAAAATGAAAATTAAAGTTAATATTGTCTTTATCACAAAAAAAAATGTTTTGGTTACTTCTTGTTAGCGCCCCTCTGTGTTCGATGTATACGTGCAATGTAATTGTAAAACAAAATTGAGAAAAATTACCTGGTGTCTGACATAACTCCACTTATTAGGATATATGATAATTGACTGCGAAGAGCCTTGGTTAGTTTTTTTTGATTTTGGTAGGCCGTTAAAATATATTTCCCCGAAACAGTTTTTTCTAAAAATTGCTTTAAATTTAAGTTATAAACATTTCTGCAAGCTTTTTTTAGCATTTCGGGTCCACGAAAAGCCATTGGCCTTTTAAGAGAAGCTTCAAAACTTTTAACTATGTTTGTTGTATCATCGTCAGTTAAATTAATCGTGCTCTCTGCAGATGTTTGGCTTGAAGTTGATGGCGAAGCTAGTTCATTATAATTTATCTCATAATCTCGCTCGGAATTAAAGGTTTCTGGCGACGAAATGTTCTAAAACAAATGAATCTGTACAATAGTTCTTTTGAAAGCTCTAGTTACTACTTACGTCACTTTGTAAGTTTATCAGGTTTAGATCATTTTTGTTTGGTATTATAATTGGCATAGCTATTAATTGTTTATATTCGTTCAATTTTGACCAAAAGATCATTCTTGGCCCTAGTTTTGGTATTAACTCTTTGACACTTTCTAATGTCAAGTGAAGTAAAGCAGATTCGTCTACTTCTTGCTCTGAAATTTAGTATAGATGTAGGTAAATAGCGTCAACGTTAATAATTTCTTGAGAAATAATTTAAAAAAATCCTAATGTAAAGCACAAATGGTAGGTGTTTAGTTATAGAGGACCACAAAGCATGTATAAACACTTCAGAAATATTTAATAAATAATACCCGTAAAAATAAACGACCTGATACCAATGCTGATACTGAACCATATTTTATCGTGGATTTATTTTCCAGGAAGCTATTTTTAATATAATGAACAAATACAGCATATTGTAGGAATTATGTTACACAGGTAACATACCTTAAAGTAGGATCAATTGACAGTTTCAACTTAGAAAAATGCGTAGGTGCACAGAAAATTTTAGAAGCAAACGCAAACAAAAAACGGTCTGAACAAAACGTATGACCGCTGAAGGTTATTTTTATTGGTAATATATATGATGCGATAGTTCCAACTTACCTTGAAAAATAGGGATATAATCCCCAAAGCCCCAGCTATTTAAAAGTTCTTCCATTACAGCACTATGATTACAGTTACACCGTCACACGTGCAGTACTAGTACAAATTACAAAAGACGCGTGAAAAATAACGTACCTATTTGCTTCGGAATTCTCCAAACGCTGACAATGTGTTTTGAGGTTTATTTAAAGTGTCGAGACTGTTGAAATAAAATCCACGTTCTTAATTGAATAAATGAGGGAGTTGGCAAAATCACGCAGATTATTATCGTAAGGTTTATAAATTTATTAAGCGAATCATATGTTCATTTCAAATGAAACAGAAAATGTTCATAGAATAAGTACATAAAATGTCATTTGAATTAACTGTAGATATTTCGTTAACATTTACAAAACCGTTAACACTTAATGTTCATTAATGTTGTTTGAAAGAAGTTTAAATGTTGTTTTAAATAACATTGTTTATCATTTCGTAATTGAAATAGATTTGAACGTTCAATTAAGAAACTGGATCTAAGAAATAAAAAATATTGTTTAAATATGTATTTATTTATTTGAGTAACATTTTATTGCTTGCTTTAACTATTTTTTTGTAATGTTTTTATAATTCTTAATATAACAGTCTCATTTCTCTCAGTGTATGCTCATCAAGAAATGATAATTACTATCGTTAATAAGGGCATTCTTTGTTGCATACGTTTCTAATTTTTTTTGTTCTATTTTGATAAGCCGCTCATACACATCTGTAGACTCTTTTCTTTTCTGTTGTAGATTACTGCGATATTCCTATACGAGTTTCTCTCTAGCAGGAGTTCGAAAACCAGCACTATTTTCTATTTCGTCTTGTTGTGTGGTTTCATCTCGATCAAACTGACTTTCATTGAGAACTTTTTCACTATTTTCATTATCATCCAAATGTTGTCCTTCATCACTTAGAATATTTGCAGTTGATGGTCTTGCACTTAATGTATCTTTTAAAAACAGCATTAATTCGAAGTAGGGCCATTTGATTTTTTTGAACTTACACCTCCATCTCCAGATCGACCACTTTGTGTTTTTGCAAATTCTCTGCGAATTGTATCCCGCAAATTTCTCCGTTTGCCTCTTACCGCACCGCCTAGAAATACAAATAATTATGTTGTGTTTAATAAAAATTATGCTTCTTCTACATTATGTATGTTTAATTGTATACGTGAGAATGAGAATAAATATGTTTTTTAAGTGTTTATCGACCGGGATGTCTTTCAGAGCCCTTGCATTCTCATTTAGAATGTCTCATTCAACAATACGAAATATCGTTTACGAAGTATGCCAAGTAATATGGCAAGAATTCAACACACAACATATGCCATTTCCGACATCAGCAATGCACAAAACTGTAGCTCAAGACTTTTTTAACAAATGGAATTTTCCACAATGCATAGGATGTATTGATGAAAAACATATAAGACTCCGTTGTCCACTAAATTCCGGTTCCATGTATTGGAATATTATAAATCTTATTATTCTATTGTCCTACAAGCAGTTGCTGATGCGCATTGTAGATTTTTTAATATTGATATCGTATCATATGGAAAACAAAGTGATGGTGGAATTTTTGCTAGCAGCAGTTTAAAACAACGATTAGAAAATAAAACTTTTTGCGTACCAGAGGATCAAAATATTTCAAATACAGATATTACCATTCCATATGTGCTCTTGGGCGATGAAGCCTATCCTTTGAAGGTGTACTTAATGAGACCCTATTCTGGTCGTAATCTCAGTGAGCAAGAAGAAATTTATAAGTATGGATTATACCGAGCAAGGAGGATTGTTGAATGTGCATTTGGCATACTATGTTCCAAATGGAGGATTCTCAAAAAAGACATAGAATGCCATCCATACAAAGCAGATATGATTGTTAAATGTGCATGTATTCATAATATCGTTATTGATAAGGAAAGGTGTACAGAAAATAATTTTAAAATGAGGTATTGTGTTTCACAAAACAATTATAATAGAATTACACGAACCAATAATAATCGTTCAACTGTAGCTGCATATGCTGTGCGGGTAAATTGAAACATTATTTCCGCAGCCCTATAGGATCAGTTCCTTTTCAAGTAAAATGAAAATTAGTTTAACAATATGTATGTAGGTATTATTGTTTATTTTTCAAGCTTATAAAATTGTGTATTCTAACTACTTGCTAAATATAAATATGCAAAATGTTTACTTACTTGTTTCTTCCATTTCCTTTGCTACCTCTTCCCATCCATTTTTTACGAAAACTCTATTATGGTAGTCTTTGCATGTTTGATCCCACAATCCTCAATTGAACACACAAAATTAACTTTTCTAAATCCATTTTAATCTAATCTTTTAACAAAATCTCAATTATTACTGAATGTGCCACAGGAGACAGTTGATAATCGTACGATTACGGCTAGAAAAACAAACGTGTTGGTTCTTTTCGCCTGATCGGCCGACATCGTACGGTAACATCCGACAAAAACGCAATGAATATATCCGCACACCTTTAAATTAGTGAGTTTGTTTTTACGTCCGACATCGCGTGACTAAAAAATCGCACGTATCCGCATCCCATGTAACCCGGCACTAAGTGCATACCTACATGTTCACAATCACCTTTAGGTAGTATTATTTTTCTTGTTTTCAGATGGTCGCTATATTGTGGGCGCTTCATGGTTATTTGGTACCTACGAACAAAATCGTGAGGAAGGACTCGGCTGAAAGAAACAGTACTACCAAATTCACCATCAATTTCCACCGGAATCTGTAATGTTTTGGAATTTTATTGCCACTAAATTTTCCACCGGAATCTGTAATGTTTTGGAATTTTATTGCCACTAAATTTTACGATATAAAATCTGATGTCTCTTATACTAAAGTTCATGTTCTTTCTCAAGCGCGGTCTGAGTAATTAATACAAGTAGTTTCTTGCCAGAGTTTAGATTCTTTTTTATGAAGCTCCTATATTCTTTTAGGAAGTTGGTACATCCATCATAGGGAAGAGCCCCTCAAAGTAAAAATGGTCTGTTGCCAGACTTTTATTTCAATTTAGGTTTAAAGTATTTGTAATGGTCGGTATCAATGAATTTTTATTTTGACTGCACACTTTTGGAGTATACCTACATTACGTTCACATCCAAAGACATCGGTCTTTATCCCATCTTGTAAGTTTTGCGTGTGCGTGGAAAAATGGATTTACGAAATGGTTGCTGTTGATTTCATTAATGCATTCATGGATACAATTGTGACGGTTTTTGTTGAAACAGTATAAATTGCTATTTGGTTAAGAATTCAGTAGTTTTTTGAGATTGTATTTCAGGCTTTAACGTTCTAATTTTCTTTGCGCTTAATTTTCACTCCGTGATTGCACCTTTCATCGTATTGTTCACATTTAAATTGTTATCACCGCTGATCCCCTTCTATGTATGTTTTCTCCTTGTCCTGCAATTCAAAGTTGGAAATCTTTAAAGTTTAAATATTTGGTCACCTGAGATTGATTAGGGGAATCCCCGCTTTTACACATTTCCTCACGAAAAGTGAAAGTCTTTTTCCTGTTGCAACTTTTGAGAAAGATTGACGTGTGGTTAGCTGAATTCTATTAAAATTTATCCAACTCATCATTTAAGAATAAAGGCTCCTATTTACGCTGGAATTAATTGATTCTGCTATTATTGGATCAGCGTAAATTTTCGCACTTGGGCGGATTATTCGACCACATGGCTTCTACACTTCGGCTCGTTCAAGATCTTTAGAGCCGTATCTACCTTTGAAATTATAAAATACAACTTGGATTGTATATCATCGTCTCATCGAAGCTCTTTGTGTCTCGTCGTGTTCGTCATCTTGATTTCCTGTGTTCGTCAATCGTAACCCTCTACCGTGAACTTCAGGGGCATGCCAACGTCCATCCAGGCCGAGTGATTTATTAAGTCGACCGTTCCATATTTGGGCCAATACCCCCTGAGGACCATTATTACTTCCACCGGCTGCTGAAAAATGCCAAGGTTAGACATTTCCTGTTACCCGAAGTTTACTCACCCATCCTAGTCCTTCCCATAATCCTCCATCTTGTCTTACCAACTTATTCCTCTTCCTTAAGCATTCATACGTTTTTTTCATTCATATCATTCATCAATTAGTTTGGTATTAATAAAGAAAAGCCATGTGGCATGTATAATTTAATTTGTTTTGGGATTTGACAGTAGTCAGTAGTTGAACAGAAACTTGTTAGTTCAAATCAACTTGTGGGGGTATATTGCAACTACCATATTTAAGACAATATTTGTGAGACAAAAACAAGACCTATGCTTGCACTGGGACACTATTGCGGTTCAGTGCAATTTAAATTCAGGTGAGTTATTTTTTATTTAATTTATTTTGCATTACAATTGATTGTTCAATATACATAGTACGTATATTTTACTAACAAAAGAAACTTCAAACATAATCACGTTGCAAAGAAACTTCACCGAGCGTAGAGTTGAAGTACTGTTTGAACGAATTTCTAATACTGAAGCTTCACTGGTAGCCCTTACTGGCGCTCCTCGTAACCGAGCAAGATTTGAGGAGTAGTCTTCAATCGATGTTGAAGAAGAATTTTTATTTGTCAGATAATTATGGAGTACGCAGATGGCTTTTACAACCTTGTCTACAGTTTCGATCTTAATTTCAAAAGGTTTAAAAAGTACTCTCCACCTGGAGGATAAAATTCCAAACGCATTCTCTGAAATTCTGCGAGCTCTTGATAGTCGATAATTGAAAAATTCCTTCTTCTATTGCCAAATTTCTTCCAGGGTATGGGCGCATTAAGTGTTTCAGTAGCGGAAAAGCCTCATCACCAACAACAACATAGGGCATCGCACTACCGCTTGCATAAAGAGGTTCATCTTCAGGTAGATTTATACCTTGCCTTAAACGCCGTCCAATGAAGCTTGATGAAAAAATGCCCCCATCACTGAAACGCCCTTTTGATCCAACGTCAATCATTAAAAAACGGTAATCCGCATCAACTACAGCCAAAAGCACAATAGAAAATGTTTTTTTATAATTAAAGTACGAAGACCCGGATTTTGGTGGTGCTTTTATTTGAATATGTTTCCCATCTATTGCACCCATACAGTGATCGAAATTCCATTTCAGCTTGAAACGCTCGGCGGAGTTTTTAAGCATATCTGCTGAAGGATCTGACATTTCAGTTGGTTGCAAACGAATCCATAAAGCATTACACACTTCTACTGCACGAGAGACAGTTCTGTGTCCCACTCTGTAACTAAACTCCAGAGATTTATAGCAGTCTCCAGTTGCAAGATATCTGTAATAAAACAAACACACAACTTTAATTTCGTTATTTTATTGTGTTGAATTATGTTTTTACATTATTTTTGGATGTTATCTATTTCTTTACAGGGGAAGAAACAAAAAAAATGTGGATCAAGCTTCGCGATGCGTACAGGAGCAGCTTAAAAAGATTGGAATCACGAAGTGGTGATGGTGGAAGCGCCACTAAACCTTGGAAATTCCAAGAACAAATGGCTTTTTTAAAACCTCATATGAAAGACCGGAAGAGGTGTACCAATGAAGATGTGTCGCGGCTAAACGAAGTAGACGATATCGGTGAAACTGTTGAGGTAACAAAGGACAATGCTGACGAGTTGGCCCACAACGCAGCCACATCGTCCAATGAGTCAGGTATTGACCGGCCCTCAAAAAAGAAAAAAAATGATGTAGCTTCCCTTTTGGTGGACCTGACAAGAGGTCGTGAAGAACGCATGAAGGGTAGGGATGAATTGCGTCGCCAACTTTTACAGCCACCCGATGAATTGAAATTGTTTTTTGACTCTATGTATGAGTCCACTAAAAAACTACACCCTTCCTTGCAGAGGATGGTGAAGAAAAGTATATTTGCAGCAGTCAATGAGGCAGAAGATATTGACGAAAAAAACAAAGAACCGTCTCAAAACTATAACTACCCAGGACCTTCACTATTGCCACAAGAAAGATCATCAAGCTGTCCAAGCCAATGTAGTACCGGTTCAGAAAGCCATATGTTTCCAAATGAATATTATGGGCACTTAGCACTTTAAAAATAACGTTTTACCACACTCTATTTTTGCTTCTTTTTTATTATAACCATTGTATTTTATTTGTCAAAATATTAAAATCTTGGTTTTCGGATAAATTTTTTTTTACTTTATGACTTACCTCAGGCAAATGGCAAGTTTTTCCTTGGTACCTTTCTGTAGTTGGTGTCTTGTTTTTTAATATCCTCGTGTATCAGGTCGTGAATGAATTCAAACTCTGAACGAGTCAACCGAAAGTAATTCTGGAATTGATCACTAGACAGTTTATCACACAATGTATGGAATTCCCCATATTTTGGTCGATCCTTCACATAGTCGGACAGCCACTTCCTTTCATCTTGTAAAACACTTGATGCTGCTGCACAAGTTAATACAAGTCGTGCTCCGAATCTGATTCCTCATCGAGTAAACAGAGTATGGCGTTCATATCGGTTGCCTTACACGCACTGAAAATTGAAACAAGTCAAGTCGCTGTAGCGCACTCCCACTCAAGTCGGTGAAGTCTGCTCAAGTCAAGTCAAGTCCGCTCGCCTCGCCTTTATTGTTGAAAATCAATTTATCAAAATCATCATACCGTTAATTATTTTAATTTTATTTACACCTTCGTTCTTGTTTGCCTAATAAATCTCATCATTTTCCTAGCTTGTTTTGTGTATCCTCTTTCAAGTTTAAGAGGCATTTCTCTTATAAACTTGTGGCGCCCTAAAGCCGCCGTTGTAGCAGCCCTCAACCATCGTCCACCAGCAGTGAGCTACCGGGTAGGTAAACTTTGTCCCGGATTTTCCGTGGCACAATTAATAAGAAATCGCCTAATAAATCTGATAATAATTTAATGTAATATGATGCACTGCGGTAACAAAGAAGTAAAGCCACTATCTAAATAATAGTATATTAACTATTAAAAACGGTAAGGACATTTTACTGATCGAAAACAATTGCTTTGTCGGGGTCGGTAGTATTTAACATTCGTGCTGCTTATGACGTTTTTTGCGCGAATGAATTTAGTTTTTTGATAATAGCATTTACATAACTAACATAGACTTATAAAGCGATAGACAGAGATATACAGGGTGACAATTTGAAAACTTACCACCCCCCATATCTTAGTAAATAAACGAGATATTTAAAAAAATCAAAATCCGTTTCGGTAATTCGGAGGGGGAATCACAATGACATAGTTGGCGACGCACCCCTCCAACCCCCTGCGCCCCAGCCACCCCAACTTTTAAATCTTAAATAGTGACCCCCCCATGTGTGATACGTCGTTGGAAAGCTCTGAAAAAATGCTTTTCAACCATACCAAATAGCATTACATTTAGGTTAGTAATTATCGTGCAAATCAAAAAATAAACTAATATGATACATTTGAAATCTATCGTATTTAAAACGCAACCGGCGAACATAAGACGAACTAAGACAGAGAATAATTCAAGAATGTCGAAATATTGAAAAACAAAGGAAAGGTTCGACAAGAGTTTGAGAATAGATTATAACTGACGATCAAAAATGAGTTGCTGTCGAGTCGGCTTTGGAAGTTCAAGTTAAATACGATTTTCCATGTTTATTTTTTGATTTGCACGATAATTACTAACCTAAATGTAATGCTATTTGGTATGGTTGGAAAGCATTTTTTCAGAGCTTTCCAATGACGTATCACACCTGGGGAGTCACTATTTAAGATTTAAAAGTTGGGGTGGCTAGGG